AAAAAAAAACCAAAAAACAGACTTTAAACCAACAAATATCAAAAGAGACAAAGAAGGGCATTACATAATGGTAAAAGGATAAATGCACAAGAAAAGTTAATGATCCTAAATATATACACACCCAATATAGAAGCACCCAGATACATAAAGCAAGTTCTTAATAACCTACAAAGAGACTTAGACTCCCACACAATAATAGTGGGAGACTTTAACACTCCACTGTCAATATTAGACAGATCAACGAGACAGAAAATTAACAAGGATATCCAGGACTTGAACTCAGATCTGGACCAAGCAAACCTAATAGACACAGAACTCTCCACCCCAAATCCACAGAATATACATTCTTCTGAGTGCCACATCGCACTTACTAAAATTGACCACATAACTGGAAGTAAATCACTCCTCGGCAAATGCAAAAGAACAGAAATCACAACAACCAGTCTCTCAGATCACAGTGCAATCAAATTAGAACTCAAGATTAAGAAACTCACTCAAAGCCACACAACTACATGGAAACTGAACAACCTGCTCCTGAATGACTACTGGATAAATAATGAAATGAAGGCAGAAATAAAGATGTTCTTTGAAACCGATGAGAACAAAGACACAACATACCAGAATCTCTGGGACACATTTAAAGCAGTGTCCAGAGGGAAATTTATAGCACGAAATGCCCATATGAGAAGCGAGGAAAGATCTAAAATCAACACCCTATTGTCAAAATTAAAAGAACTAGAGGAGCAAGATCAAACAAATTCAAAAGCTAGCAGAAGGCAAGAAATAACTAAGATCAGAGCAGAACTGAAGGAGATAGAGACACAAAAATCCCTTCAAAAAAATCAATAAATTCAGGAGCTGTTTTTTTGGAAAGATCAACGAAATAGATAGACTGCTAGCCAGACTAAGAAAAAAGAAAAGAGGGAAGAATAGATGCAATAAAAAATGAAAAAGGGGCTATCACCACCAATTCCACAGAAATACAAACTACTATCAGAGAATACTACAAACAACTCTATGCACATAAACAAGTAAATCTAGAAGAAATGGATAAATTCCTGGACACTCACACCCTCCCAAGACTAAACCAGGAAGAAGTTGAATCCCTAAATAGACCAATAGCAAGGTCTGAAGTAGAGGTAGCAATTAATAGCCTACCACACAAAAAAAGTCCTGGTCTAGATGGGTTCACAGCTGAATGCTACCGGACATACAAAGAGGAATTGGAACCATTCCTTCTGAAATTATTTCAAACAATACAAAAAGAGGGAATCCTCCCTAACTCATTTCATGAGACCAACATCATCCTGATACCAAAACCTGCAGAAATACAACTAAAAAAAAGAAAATTTCAGGCCAATATCCATCATGAACATTGATGCAAAAATCTTCAATAAAATACTGGCAAACCGAATGCAACAGCATATCAAAAAGCTTATCCATCACGATCAAGTAGGCTTCATCCCAGGGATACAAAGCTGGTTCAACATATGCAAATCTATAAACTTAATCCATCACATAAACAGAACCAAAGATGAAAATGAGATGACTAACTCACTAGATGCAGCGAAGGCCTTTGACAAATTCAACAGCCCTTTATGCTAAAAGCTTAATAAACTAGGCATCAATGGACTATATCTAAAAATAGTAAAAGCTATTTATGACAAACTTACAGTCAATATCATACTCAATGGACAAAAACTGGAAGCATTCCATTTGAAAACTGGCACTAGACAAGGGTATCCTCTCACCACTCCTATTCAACATAGTATTGGAAGTTCTAGCCAGAGCAATCAGGCAAAAAAAAGAAATCAAGGGTATTCAATTAGGAAAAAGAGGAAGTCAAATTGTTTCTATTTGCAGATGACATGATTGTATATTTAGAAGACCCCATCATCTCATCCCCAAATCTCCTTAAGATGATAAGCAACTTCAGCAAAGTCTCAGGATACAAAATCAATGTGCAAAAATCACAAGCATTCCTATACACCAATAACAGACAAACAGACAGCCAAATCATGAGCGAACTCTCATTCACAATGGCTATGAAGAGAATAAAATACCTAGGAATACAAAGGACGTGGAGAACCTCTTCAAGGAGATGTACAAACCACTGCTCAAGGAAATGAGAGGAACAGATGGAAAAACATTCCATGATCATGGTTAGGAAGAAACAATATCGTGAAAATGGCCATACTGCCCAAAGTAATTTACAGATTCAATGCTATCCCCATCAAACTACCATTGACCTTCTTCACAGAACTGGAAAAAACCACCTTAAACTTCATATGGAACCAAAAAAGAGCCCACATACACAAGACAATCCTAAGCAAAAGGAACAAGGCTGGAGACATCATGCTACCTAACTTCAAACTATACTACAAGGCTATAGTAATCAAAACAGGATGGTACTGGTACCAAACAGAGATATAGACCAATGCAACAGAACAGGCCTCGGAAGTAATGCCACACATCTACAACTATCTGATCTTTGACAAACCAGACAAAAATAAGCAAAGGGGGAAGGATTCCCTGTTTAATAAGTGGTGTTGGGATAACTGGCTAGCCGTGTGCAGAAAGCTGAAAGTGGACCCATTCCTACACCTTACACAAAAATTAACTCAATATGGATTAAAGATTTAAACATAAGATCTAACACCATAAAAACCCTAGAAGATCCACTCAGGACATAGGCATAGGCAAGGACTTCATGACTAAAACACCAAAATAAATGACAACAAAAGCCAAAATAGACAAATGGGATCTAATTAAACTTAAGAGCGTCTGCACAGCAAAAGAAACAATTAGAGCGAACCAGCAACCAACAGAATGGGAAAACATTTTTGCAATCTACCCGTCTGACAAGGGCTAATATACAGAATCTATAAATAACTAAAACAAATTTACAAGAAAGAAACAAACACCACCATCAAAAAGTGGGCAAAATATATGAACAGACACTTTTCAAAGGAAGACATTTATGTGGCCAACAAACATATGAAAAAATGCTCATCATCACTGGTCATTAGAGAAATGCAAATCAAAACCACACTGAGATACCATCTCACACCAGTTAGAATGGCAATCATTAAAAAATCTGGAGGCAACAGATGCTGGAGAGGATGTGGAGAAATAGAAACACTTTTCCACTGTTGGTGGGAAGGTAAATTAGTTCAACCATTGTGGAAGACAGTGTGGTGATTCCTCAAGGACCTAGAAATAGAAATTCCATTTGACCCAGCAATCCCATTACTGGGTATATATCCAAAGGATTATAAATCAATCTATTATAAAGACACATGCACATGTATGTTCATTGCGGCGCTGTTTACAATAGCAAAGGCTTGGAACCAACCCAAATGCCCATCAAAGATAGACTGGATAAAGAAAATGTGGCACATATACACCATGGAATACTATGCAGCCATAAAAAAGATGAGTTCATGTCCTTTGTAGGGACATGGATGAATCAGAAACCATCACTCTCAGCAAACTGACACAAAAACAGAAAACCAAACAACACTGCATGTTCTCACTCATAAGAGGGTGTTGAACAATGAGAACACATGGACACAGGGAGGGGAACATCACACACTGGGGTCTGTTGGGGGATGAGGGGCTGAGGAGCAACAGCAGTGGGTGGGGTGGTTCAGGAGGGATAATATTAGGAGAAATACCTAATGTAGGTGACGGGGGGATGGAGGCAGCAAACCACCATGGCATGTGTATACCTAGGTAACAATCCTGCAAGATCTGCACATGAACTCCAGAACTTAAAGTAAAATAAAAAAGAAAGAAAGAAAATAGATGAAATCTAACTGACGGGGAAACCAAACCAAAACAAACAAAAATCCAGCTGAAGACACCAAAGGTAGGAGTGTTTCTCTCCAGGAAAGCTCTACAGAAGCTTAAATTAATCAATAAAGAGGTTGGGTGCTGGGTGCAGCCTGAATGCATGAGTAGATTATTAAGGGCTCTATGGTGAATAGTTGAGATCTCTGGTGCCTTGCCCCTTCTCCCCTGTGTAAGAAGGGCAGGAGGCTTATGCTCTTTGCCCTGATAACTATTTTGCAGAAAGTATATGATTTGCCCAACAAAGGCTTCTACTTGGCGTACTGGGGCCCAAAAAGGGAAAATTGCAGAGCCTAGACCTCCACAACAGACACGGGAGGGTGTAGAGAAAAAGGAAAAAAGCTTCATCCCAAACTGAAACCCATGACAGTGCTTCACACCACCAACACCCTCACCACCAGAGGAAGACCTTTTCCACCAGCAACATAGGGGATCTGAAGGCTTTCTCCTGATCCCTGCCCACACACCCTCCAGGGACATCTGTCCACAACATGCCCATCCACTCACAAAGGGACTTCAGGGGCCTTCCTCATGCTGGGCACCATGACAGCATCTGTGCTACCCAATCAGCCTTTATATGTCAAATGACCAGACAACCAAGGATCATCACATACTTGAGGCAAACCAAAACCAGGAAAGAGAAAGATGAGCAGACAGAACTGACCCCATATGAAACAGATGATTCAGGAAACTGATGGGAGCTTTGAAATAACTCTATTTCATAATCTTAAGATATTTTAAATGAGTCTACCTCTATAAAATAAAATAAAAAAGGAACAGAAAATGAGAAATTATTCTTCCGTTTTTAAAAAGTCAAAACAAAACCTGAAAATCACAGGCTGAAGACAACAGCAATGAGGACCAAAAAGGACACTTACTACAAGCTGCTCCTTCTTTTCTTGAAATGCTTTGGTCTTGAAATTCCTTATTCTTTTGACTTTTTCAATAGTATCTGAGGTGGTCTGGCTGTAGTCACTCACTGAAATGACAGAGTTGGGGAAAAAAATGATGCCCCTCCCCCAGTTCCCCACACAAAGAGCTATTTCTACTTCCGTGTCCCTCAAAAGTCAGAGGATAAAATGGCTTGCATAGAAATTTCTATTTGATTAAACCTAGCAGGAGAGACTCCTGGAGCTACTCCCCTGTCCAGATACCAGAGGAAGGGTAGGAAGGAGGGGGAAAAAAGGGACTTCAGTTTTTAGGTTCAAAAGTGCACCCCACAAATGAATTTCCCCATGCCCTGTAAAGGACTTCAAAAGTCTCACTTCTGACTTCAGAGAAGCCAGAGAAATAAAATGACTGGAACATAATTGCAACATCTGTGACTGGACTGTCAAATTCTTGGCGATTCTCTGCTATCCCTGCCAAGTCCGTGTGTTCCTGGTCAGTTGTTTTAAAATTGCCAGAAGGGAACAACTCACCCCAGCTGGACCTGCTGCCGCACAGCCCCCCATCACCCTCAGCAGCACTGTTCAGAAGGTGGTCGCTGAAATTCACCGCCTTGTTCAGGTAAAGGTTCTGGTCAATGAAAACATTCAAACACCACGAATGATGAGGCTGCTCTGTCCCACTAGAGAGAAGGATCTCCCTGCTAACTTGCTCCTCCTTATTAAGGACAGCTCCACCTACCCGGACAGTTGAGCCTGAGACCTGGAAGTCCTTCCTGACTACTCCTCACCTTCCCAGGATGCTTTGTCCATTCTGCTGCTTACCCAGTGGCTCAGTCTGGCCCCTCCTCCTCTCCCTCACTGCATCCCTGGCCCCTCATCTCACATTGGAACCATCACAATAGCCTCTCGACAGGGGTCTGCCAGTCTCCCTGCCACATGGCTGTCCCAGTTCACCTTTATACCCTTTATAAGTGACTGTATTATTTCTCTGCTTCAAGTCCTTCAATGTCTTGTAATTAGGGTCCCATGATGGGAAGGTCTCAGGCTGCCAAGTGTGAATCCTGGGCCTGCCACTTACTGACTTAATGCCCTTGGAAGAAGCAGGTTGCTTAACTTCTGTGAGTCTCAGTTTCCTCACCTGGAAAGTAGAAATATTATGACCTACCTCAATGGCATGTTGTGAACGCGAAATGAGGTAAAATGGGTGTCTATATAATGAGGTCAGACACAGAAGTCTGTGGCACCTGGACTGATCCCCCTGCACCCTCACGTGGCTGCCTGCTCCTGTCCCAAAGAACAGCCCGCTACTTCCTGGACATTAGAATATGCAGGCTAAGAAAAGATTTATTAAACCTAAGGGCCAGGTGTGGTGGCTCAAGCCTGTAATCCCAGCACTTTGGGAGGCTGAGACAGGTGGATCACTTGAGGCCAGGAGTTCGAGACCAGCCTGGCCAATATGGTGAAACCCCGTCTCTACTAAAAATACAAAACTTAGCTGGGTGTGGTGGTGTGAGCCTGTAATCCCAGCTACACAGACAGCTGAGGAATGAGAGGTGCTTGAACCTAGGAGGTGGAGGTTGCAGTGAGCCGAGATTGTGCCACTGCACTCCAGTCTGGTTGACAGAGCAAGAATTTGTCTCAGAAAACAAAAAACAAAAAAAAACACCACAACTGGGAACAGTTATTCCAATTCTACTTGACAGAGAGCACGTTGGAGGTGCTGCTGGCGGCCCACCCTGTTCCCACCAGCTGGCCAGGTTACTCACCCTAGCTGTTGTGCAGCTGCTAAGAGCTCACTGCTGGACCTCCTTCTCCAGCAAAGTGCCCTCAGTAGACGGATGCTGCCTTGCCCTAGAGGTTATCCTCCCTCCCCTCCCTACCTCAGCTGGGGACAACTTTGTGGTGTAATTCATCCTCCAGAGGTCCCCTTGGATCAGGCTAAAGCTCAACTTTGCTTTTGTCTACCTGCTCATTCAGCCTCTTCCCCTGCCTTCTCTCACTCCCCTCTCCCTGAAGTTCTTCTCTGACCCAAGCTCTGCTCTAGCTACACAATGAAAAATAGCAGTTAATGCTTTATTTGGTTTCAAAGCACATTCATGTGCATTAGCCCATTAGATACTCCCGGCATTCCCATAAGTTAGACAGGGCCCATGTTTCTATCCCAATTTCAACAACACCATTAGCACCTTGCCAGGGCCTAATAAATGTTAATTCCCCTCTTTTTTCTTGGCTTCTTAATTGATTGATCAATTATTCTGACTTCTTGTCCAATGAAACTGAAGCTGCTAATGTCAATCAATTAATGTTTGAAAAACACTTACAGGCTCTGGGCAACACCCTAGTCACCATATAAAAGGGAAGATCAAGAGCACATGGCCACAAAGTTCGGTTTGGTAGAAGAAAATATGTCAAAGGGCGTATCAGCAAATATTTTTGTCAGTCATTCCCCAAATCAATTGTATCACAGACATGCCGTCAGGCTTCAGTAAATATAAATAAGCCTGAGAACTACAGAAAAACTCCTGTTCTATGTCTTTCTGTGCCTGAGGTTTAACTTGTTTATCTAATTCTATGAAATTCCTTGCCTCTAGTAGCATTTCATAATATTTGAAACATTTCCTTTCTATGGATTGCACAGAAGCATTTCTATCAATTGTAAGTCCCAATTTACTAGATCAATCAATTCGCGAATGAGTAACTTCTCGAGGCTTGCTCACCTTGTTTGAGACTTGAATATAATTCAGTCTGATGCTAACTTCACAACCATCTTCGTGGACAGTAGCAGAGATAAGCTTTCAAAAGAATTGTAGAGAGAATTTATAACTATGGGTGTAGGACTCATTGCCTTAAGTAACAGTGTAGAAATAAATTTAACCAAATATTTAATTAACACAGAAGAAAGGAGGAAAAGAAAAACAGAGCAACAAAAACTAGATAAACAGAAAACAAAGAACAAAATGGCAGATCCAAATCCAACCATATCTAAATTCTACTAATTAAGAATTAACTGAATATTCTAAAGAGACTGAAAACTGAATAAAAAGGCAAGATCCAAATCTATACATTCTTCAAGAGACGCACTTTAATCAAACCACATGATCAGATGTCATCACCTTGGAAAAGGTATTCTGGTAAGGGGTGGGGACAGGGCTTGGCAATTAAGGGACAAGTGTCACAGTTGAGCAGCTTTCTCTGGAAGTAGCAATAGGAATTTAGATTCAGCCAAGGGGCAAGAAATGTTTTCAGGAACACTCAGTTCGTAAATACTTTAGGTCTTGCTGACCATATGTTCTGTGCTGTGAATACTTTACTGTCATAGCACGAAGCAGCCACATATAACAAGTAACGGAATGGATGCGTAAGATTTTATTTACAAAACTGGGCAGTGGGCCAGATTTGTCCCAGCTGTCATAATTTGCGAATCTTTGGATTAGGCTGAAGAATTCATAAACTACCAAAATAGATTATCAAAGGAAATTGGGCAATACTTGAAAATGAGATCATCTCGATGTTGGCCTATTTGGCAGCAGAGGAGTAGACAATCTTTTTCATAAAGTTCCTTCTAGTCTTGCAACAAACAGAGGAAGGGTCCTCTCACAGAGCTGTCTTTCGATAATGGCAATGTAGTATCAAAGAAAGGACATGGGGCTCTGACAGGGTCTAACAGGGTCTGACGGACCTGCTTCAAATCTTGAACCCCATGAGACCCAGCAGCGTAGTCTTGGGCAGGTCACCAAAACACTCTGAGCTTCAGTATTCCTGGGTATCAAATAAGGCTTCTGATTACCTAGTGTGGAGTGAAAAACCACCCCAAACTTAGTGGCATTAAACCACCACCACTTATGCTAAGGATTCCGAGAGGACATAGCAGAGATAGCTTGACTTTGTTCCACATGTCCGAGGCCTCAGCTGGAAGACTCAACTGGCTAGAGGTGGTTGGATGTTTGGGGGCTGGAATTATCTAGAGTCTGGTCACTCATGTGGCTCCGGCACAGAGATGACTCAAGAACTGAGTTCAGCTGGTGCACCTACATGTGGCCACTCTCTGTGGCTTGGGCTTCTCATAGCAGGGTGGCTGAGCTCTAAAAAGGGGTGTTAGAGGTGAGTGTGCCAAGCAAGAGAAAGCCACATGACCTTACGTGGCCAAGCCTTAGAAGTCTCATGGCATCACTTCCATCATAGTCTATTAGTCAAACAGTCACAGACCCACCTAGATTCAATCTGTATCTGAGAGGACACAGATTCTACCATTTGAAGGGAAGACAGTCAAGGAATTTGTGTTTTTTTTTTTTTTTTAAGTGATCACAAAGGTAATACTCCTCCCTTGCAGGTTTGCTGTGAATACTAGAATGATGAATACAATGCTGATGCTGGGTCTACTGTAAAATGGCAGCTTTTATGTTACTATTGCTATATATTAACAGTATATGATTTAAGTCCACAATCTTGCTGGACTAAACTGTTCTGGGACTTTTCATTCCGACTATTAGAATTTCCAACGTAGCATCTGAGCATGAGATGTTCAGAATCGTATTGTGTTAGGTCAGGCGCCCCAGAGGCAGACTCTGAGACAATCTTCATGTGCAAGTGATTTATTAGAACAGAGCTCAAAAGGCAGAAGATAAGAAGCTATAGAAAGCAGAGCAGGAAAGAGAAAGGAACCAGGCAACATGCAGTTTCAGCAAAGTCCATGGAGGGTTCCATCAGCCTGATTCCATGGACACTTGTGGAGTGGAAATTTCATCTCACCCACCTTTCCCATCCTGGGTTCTGCAATCAAGGCCCGGAATTCAGGGTTGTTCTGAGCATAACACCTGAGGTGAGCAGAGATATGATCCAACTGTCTTCTCCAGTACCCTAAGAAGAGAAACCCAGCCATCTGGATGATTCTCCTGAGGCTAAGAAAGAAAAATGCTAGCATGGAACATATGTTCTCAGTGCGGTTAATTTCCTTTGTCAAGCTTTGTGATGGACTTTCCTTACTGAACTTCAACTATGTCGTAGAACAAGTTCCATTTCCCCCCAGCTTCTTGTTACATGTGATTAATCATAGAATATCATAGAATCTCAAAAGGGGCTGGGCGCATTGGCTCGCACCTGTAATACTAACACTTTGGGAGGCCGAGGCAGTTGGATCACTTGAGGTCAAAAGTTCAAGACCAGCCTGGCCATCATGGTGAAACCCTGTCTCTGCTAATAATACAAAAATTAGCTGGGCATGGTGGCATGCACCTGTAGTCCCAGCTACTCAGGAGGCTGAGGAAGGAGAATCACTTGAACCCAGGAGGAGGAGGTTGCAATGAGCCAAGATTGTGCCACTGTACTCTAGCCTGGGTGACAGAACAACACATCTCAACAAAAAAAGAATTTCAAAAGAATATATTTTGATTGCCACACGTGCGGTCTTTTCTTTTTCTGTGATTTTATACCACCTATAATAACTTACCTAATGTTTTATTTTATTTTATTTATTTTGAGATGGGATCTCACTCTTGCCCAGGCCAGAGTGCACTGGTGTGATCATGGCTTACCATAACCTTGACCTCTCCGGGCTCAGATGATCCTTCTACCTTAGCCACCCAAGTAGCTGGAAATTCAAGCATGCACCATAATGCCTGGCTAGGGTTTATATTTTTTAGAGATGGAGTTTCACCATGTTGCCCAGGCTGGTCACAAACTCCTGAGCTCAAGTGATCTTCCTGCCTCGGCCTTCCAAAGTGCTAGGATTATAAGTGTGAGCCACCACACCCAGCCCTTATGCAATATTTTAAATGTACCGTTTGGGGCTTGCCAAATGTGTACATCCCAATCAATATATAAAATATTTCCATCACTCCAAAAAGTTCTCTTGGGCCCCTTTCCAGTCTGCATAGGGTTTAAGACACATTTGAATTAGTTGCCACCTTTTAAAACTTGTGAGATTTCACGCGAGTTTCATGCCTCATATCTTATATGCAGGTGGAAAATGCAGGGGCGCTGGGCTCACCTTCCCACACAGGCTGAACACCTGAGGCCAAAGAGCAGCTGGCTGCTTTGGACAGGGCACAGGCTCTCCAGCTGGCCACAGCCCCTGCTGTGCCCTGTGGCCACTTGACTCTGTAAACCCACATCGGATCCCACCTACCAAATGAACACACTAAGCTGAAAGCAATCAGAGAGTTTTTCCAAGGTCATGCAGCATGGTTCAGTGGAAAGAGCACATGATTTGGAGTTCAGACAAGCCGGCATTTAAATTCTAAATCTATCATTTATTAGCTTAGGGATGTTGAGCCAGACCCTTATATCTCCCTATGCCCTCCTTTTCTTACCTAATAAAATGGAACTAATACCCCCTGCCTCATGTGTTATTGGGACGTTAAACAAAAGTACCTAAGTGTTCTTAGTTGGGTTTCCCTGAAAGCAGAACTGAGATAAAGACTTAGGAAAGGTGGTTTCTTTGGAAGGTGACCATGGGACATGCAAGTGATGGAGTATAAAGAGCAGGACAGGGAAGGGAAGGAAGAAAGAATGTGTTAAAAACTGGTTAATACTGTGGGCAACTGGGGCCTGATCTTGCTGGGGATCCGAGGGTCCATGGAGAACATGCCTCACAGTTTTCTGCTGAAGGACAGAGAAGCTATAGGGGATCTGCTCCCCGGCTCCCTTGCCCATGTGTGAGAGTAGCCCAAGTAGTGTTAACTCCCAGTGCTTCTGAGCTGCACCTGTGCAGGGACAGGCAGCCTTCTCCTGAAGTTGGAGGCAGCAAAATCAAAAGAGATAAAAGAATTTAAATAAAACAGATAAAACTATTTAAATAAAAGAGAGAGAATGGGGCACATTTGATGAGGCATTCTGGCAACGATAGAGGTGGAACCATCGACCACAGCTGCAGGCTGAGATCTGGCTTGGGGCATCTGGAGAGTCTACTATGAATAATCAAGATAACACTAGAGATCATACTGAGCCTAGTGCACTGTTTGACACAAAGTAGCCATTTATCCCACAGATATTTACTGGGCACCTACTATTTGTCATGTATTATTCTAGGGCTAGGATACACAGGAGTGAACAGAATTCTTACCCTCAAGGAGCTTACATTCTCAGTGAACACAGATAATATGAAAATAAATAAATATGTATGCAGGAGTATATTAAAAATGAGGTTCTGACAGAGAAGCTACAATACAATAGATGTATATTTCTAAAATCAAATCTCAACTTTCAAAAAAGCACTGAGAAAGAACCTTGTGAGGAAGTCCTTTGGCAAGGGTCTAAGACTATGAGTCCCCATGGAGAGGTGAGGTCTGTTCCCTTCCAGATCAGGCTGAATGAGGGGATTCCAAGGGATTGGCTTCTGCTACAGGAAACTGAAAACCTGTTTCTATTAATCATTGCTACCAAACAAAACAACCCAGAACTTAGTGGTTTAACAAATCAACCACTTTACTGCTCATACTTCTGTGGGTCGAGAATATGGTCAGTGCTCTGCAGGGATGGTTCATCTCTGCTCCACATGGTGTCGGCTGAGCCATCTCAAATAGGGCTATGGGATCCAAGATTATCTCAGCCACAAGTCTGAGGCCTCAGCAAAGATGGCACAAACTACTGAGAGCTGTCTGGGATGACTCAGCCTTTGTCTGCACACATTCAAATGCCTGGAGTCTTTGGGGTAGGCTGCTCGCTCAGGTGCTCTGTTCTCCTTCATGTGCCATCTCTTCTCACTCAGTAATCTCTACTGAACTTCTTTACACAGTGCTGGCTTCCTAGAAAGCAAGTGGAAGCTTTCAGCTCTTGTAAGGCCTAGGCCCAGAACTATCATGGTGTCTCTTCTACCGCTCTTTATTGGTAAAAGCAAGTCACAAGGTCAGTCCAGATTCCAAAGGAAGAGACACAGCCTCTTCCTCCTAAGGAGAAGAGAGATGTGGGGAGTGACTCTGGTCATCTCTGCAGATAATCAACCATAGGTCTGATACCACATTTATACCTGGAAGAGCTCAGTCAGGCTGTGAGCTGGGTTTTGACTCCCACTAGGGACATCCAGAGGGCAAAGGAAGAGCTGAGAATGACCAACTTCTGGCATGGCAGCCTAGGGATTTGAGTGGGCCTACTCCCCAACAAAACTGTTAAGGGTGGGTAGCTAGGGAGACATGAACAGGGCAAGAAAGGCTCCCCCCACCCCCAGAAATGTCAGTGACCATCAGGTGATGGTCAGACAGTTGTTAAACAGTTTCTCTAAAATAATAATTGGTTGTAGCTGGTGCCAGGGAACAGCAGTCCCCCAGTAGACAGAAAACACTGGAAGCTGGTCATCAGCAGCTTCCTGATGAGATCTCAGGAGTTGGACGAGTAGGCTTAGCCATGTGCACTAAGAAGCAAAATGGCAGAGTTTAACTGGTACATGACCTTTCTCTAGAACACTCAATGGGTAAGGGAATGCCTCAAGTGATCATGCACACTGTCAGGCCTCCAAGTCCAAGCCTGGCCGTTACAGACTTGGTGACCTGCACGTGCACCTCCTGATGGTCTCCGGGAGCCAGAAAGTCTGAAGTCACCAGATGGCCACAAAGAGAAGTGAAACAACTGGCTCCTGCCTCAGCCAATAGCTCTCCTCCTGCAACATTCCACCATTGTTCCTGCTCAGCCTTGCAAAGCTTCCCCACTAGATACTAGGTTTCTCAAGACCCCTATCCCTGTAACTATGTAATTTACCGCACCCTCCCCTCTGCTTGCAACCGATAACCCCCACCCTTATGACCATGCCTGTTTGTAAAAGATGACCCCTACCCTTGTGACTATGCACCCTGTGATGCCCTTCCCCCTCCCTAAAATAGATTACAACCTTTAATTGACCACTTGCCTCAACCTATGTGAGCAGTCCCCTTTCCTACTCCCCTTGCCTAACTCCTTTCTTGGACTTGGCCCGCAAAGTAAAATGGCCTCGTTGCCCACACAAAGCATGCCTGGTGGTCTCTTTACGTGAGCAACGCGCCTAACACATACAACTTCAGTAAACATACAGTGCGTGTGGCCCCTCCCAAGTGCTGGCAAGCCACTGCGCATGGGGACAGCCCAGCAAGAAGAATTGGGGAGAAATAATACAAACTCTGGAACCATGCCAATGTATAAGCCCCACGTCAAGGGCTGAATGGTGCACTTGAATTTCTTAAGTCACCCACTTGGACTTCTTCAAAGTGTACTTTACTTCCTTTCACTCCTGCTCTAAAACTTTTCAATAAACTTTTACTCCTGCTCTAAAACTTGCCTTGGTCCCTCACTCTGCCTTATGACTCTCAGCCAAATTCTTTCCTCCTTGGAAGCAAGAAGTGAGGCTGCTGCAGACCCATACCCATATGAATTCACCATTGCTAACAAAACTAATTTAGAAAAACAGCAAACCCCATCACAACTATTTTAAGTCTCTAGAAATGGTTCTAAAGCCATATAGAAAATAAACGTTTAATGAATGTATACCAAAACTCAGAATCATGAGAGTCTGTGGTGTCTGAACCATGGCTCACTCCTTTCCACTCCTTCTCAACTGAGCACGATGGAAACTCTGCTCCATATAGGTGTGGCCAAGAACACAGGGCTCCCTCTCCTCACATCTTCCGAGGAAGGTCAGGGACTTCAGTATTTCTCATCCTGTCCCAATTGCCCTTTGCACAGACTAAGTTCCAGACAAATGTGGTCAAGAGGCTGGGGCTCCCTTTCTCTGCCCAGATCTGGGACACTGGGAATGCTGGGGTCCAGACCACCTATTCCTGGCTCATTCGGCACAAGTCAAATGTTGAAAGATGCAAGTCATGAAGAACAAAGGCTACAGCTGCATCCTGCTCTGCTGGTTACCTAAAGCATTGCTCAGCCCCTAAAGCAATGGT